TTGAGGTTCTAGAAAGAATAACAGCGTCGTCAGCATATAAAAGTATAGGAATAGGGCGCTGGGCCAGTTTGGGTGGGTGGAGATCTGTACCATTTAAATATCCAACAACATCGTTAACGTAGAAGTTGAAGAGAGCTGGAGCCAACATACACCCCTGCCTAACTCCCTTGAGGGTGGAGATTTCATCTGTCAGGTGGCCCAACCCGGTACATCTAACCCTCAGGGAGGTATGTTCATGTAAAGCACGGATGAGAGCTAGAAGTCTCCTATCTATTGTGGAGGCTTCAAGTTTACTCCATAGTACAGGTCGAGAAATAGAGTCAAAGGCTGCCTTGAGATCGATAAAGGCCGCATATAAAGATGGGGGGCCCTTGCAAACATATTTTTCTATAAGGTGCCTAAGTAGAAGACAGTGGTCAATAGTCGATCTGCCCTGCCTAAACCCTGCTTGTTCCTGAATTATTATATCATCCTGCTCCATCCAAAGTGTAAATTTTTCTAGAAGGTGTTTAGCATATAATTTACTTATAACACTTAGAAGACTGATAGGCCTATAGTTTGCAGGATCTTTTCGGTTACCTTTTTTATAGAAAGGAACAACCGCGGCCACCCCCCATTCTTTTGGGGTGATCTGATATGTCGGCTTGCTGGGGGCAAAGGGTTTGTCCTCCGGAGCACTGAGACAAGGAGTGCGGAGTCACTCCGAGCTGCTTAATTCTATTACACCCGCCCCCCCCCCTGCAAGCCAAATCGGCACCTACCTCCACCAGGTGGTTGTCTGGCCCATACAGTTCTTTGTCCAGCTCAATGACCAGGCTTTTGAAAAAGGAGGAGAATTTTCTCTTCTGCTTACTCGGCTGAGACAGACAGAAAGCTTGATGAGGGACCAAACCCTGATAATCCACATGCACGGGCAGCGCTGTTTGACAAGTGAACCTCTAAAACTAAGGGGCAAGCCTTTCTTAGATTAGTGGGGCCACCACCTGACACGAGGGACGTCGTCCGTTTTGGACCAATCACCATGATCATTGTATCTTTTATACAGCACTTCTTTGCAGCACTGATCTTAAAGGCTTTCTGTGAGACAGGAAGGAAAGTGTAGGGGGCAGGGAGGAAAATCTGGAGATTTCGTAGAACCTAAATTCCAGGACATATTGAAAAACAGGAACAAACGCTGTGTCTAAAATACAGCTGTGTTCCCTATACTGGTGGAATGAGCTCCCGAAGGAGATCAGGAGCTCTGTGGGATCTTTTACAGTTCTGCAGGGCCTGCAAGACGGAGCTCTTCCACCAGGCTTTCAATTAGGAGCCGCCACCATCACTAGTAACTGTCACTAGTAACTGTCACTAGTAACAACTGTATAGCCTGGTTCCTGGTGAATTATCGACAGCCTGTGCGCGTCGAGTAAGATCAACGCTGGGAAATGAACACCATATGGTATGCACTCATGCAGCACCGCCATTGCAGTGATACTGGAATAACATCGCTAGCACTTAATAGGCAATATTGTATTGTTTTAACAAATTGTTTTAATGGTTTTAATGATCTGATTGTTAATCTGTGTTTTATCTGTGTGAGCTGCCCTGAGCCTGCTTTGGCGGGGTAGGGCGGGATATAAATTGGAATATAAATAAATAAATACTGTCTATGGTGGTGAGACAGTCTGGAAAAGAGGACAATCCAAATTTGACAGCTCAAACTCTGGAAGAGAGAACTGGACCGAGACCACCAGTCTGAGGCCAGGCTACGCTGAAGCCCTGCCTTAGGCTGAAGGAGTTGCTAAACCGCCCTCCCACCACCAGAGGAGCCACACTAACTAACCCCCCCCCCAGCCAAGAAAAAACACTAATCAGAAGTAAGGTTTCAGTCTTACATCATCCAAAAGTTTGCCCTCCACTCGAAGTTCCCACGAGGCTATCCGCTCACTACCGTCACAGTCCTCCTTCCCGGGAGTAAAGGTATTGGAGATGTAAATGCGCAGCTTCCGCTTTTGCTGGAGGTTTAGGAAAAAATTATTTGTTGGGACAGCACTGGAATTGAATTATCGCACAGACCCAACCCCACCCTCTGGCCCAGACCTTTCTTCCCAGGGCAAGTGTGGTTAGCAGGGCGGCACACGCTATCTGTACGAAGGCCCCAGGCGGGCAGGGAATGCCCACTGAAGTGGACCGAAGGACCCGGGAAACCACGCCTCCCCTCCAGCCCTCCGCACCGTCAAAGGTTTCTTGATTGCCTCCTGGATCTCCATCCTTTTGCGGGCGATCGTCTGGTCCAGCTTGCGTTCAAAGGCCAGCAAATCCATATAGGCCTGAGACTCTGGGACCAGCTCACGGATCTGTAAAAACAAAGACAGCCCATCGGAGGCGCATCTTGCCAGTTTGTGTTACCAGATTCAGTTTACACAAGGCTCCTGTACAGAAGAAGAAGAGGAGGAGGAGATTGGATTTATACCCTGCCCTTCACTACCCAAAGGAGTCTCAGAGTGGCTTACAAACTCCTTTCCCTCCCCCTCCCCACAACAGACACCCTGTGAGGTAGGTGGGGCCGAGAGAGCTCTGACAGAAACTGCTCTTTTTCAAGAACAGCTCATATCAGAGCTACGGCTTGCCCAAGGCCATCCAGCCAGGTGCAAGTGGAAGAGTGGGGAATCAAACCTGGTTCTCCCAGATTAGAGTCCGCGCACTTAACCACTACACCAAACTGAAGCAGCTGCACATAAAGAGGATTTCACCAGGTATTAATTTCTCCTGATCTTACAAATGAGGGGAGCTGTGATCCTCACTACCACCCCACCCGAGGCATATATGGCCTCTGCATTTTATTGGGAGAAAGGGAGTCAATAACGGTTTGCCTCAATGTAATTAATTTTGTCTCAATTTAATTTTTCCACGTCATTGAAGTCCCGTCCCCCCACCCCGTGTTTCTAACAGATGACAGTGGATGGATTTTTTTGCGTTGGCTACGAGCTTGGAAAAACAAAAGCTTTTCAGTCCGTTTTTTTCTTCACAGCGCCATTAAGACGCCTTTAAGTGATAACGCCACAGAAGGAGTCCAGGAACGTACCCAGGACTGTGTTTCTAATATTTACACAAAGATTTTATATTGTATTAGTACCATTCTCTATAGTCTTTGACCACAGACCTATATATTTACTTATACTTATGAAACGCATTTTATAGAATGAATGTTACTTATGATAGATATTTGCAATACAAAAAGTATTATAAAGTGTGCTAAAACTAACAGAATAGTGGTTTCTCTTTGGTGAGTTTCATTTTTTCCTCAACTTAATTAAGGACAGATGAATTTCCGTCTCAGAAATATTACTGCCCAGTTGTCGAATTGCAGTGTGGGGAGCAGTGATGCCGAATCACTTTGTAAATTAAAGAAGATGGAAATGTGGTGATGAATGGGGCTGCTCTAGGTTGACTTGAAACTGCTGAGGCACTCCGGGGTGAACCAGATGCCATCCAAATAGGAATGGCTAGAACATGTCCCGGTCCCTTACAGGAAGCCATTCTGCAAGGGAATAGACTCACCGAAAGGTAAGCAGAATGAACTGCTTCTAAATGGTTCATATCCTATTGATGTATTAATGCTATCAACTCCTTTTTGATGTTGTTATGAGAATATACTGGTTCTACACTTGTCTTAAAAATGTATACATTTTCTCTATTTGACTTACAAAGCTTAGTCTTTAGAAATACTGAGGCTCTAGACCCATGTTTAAATGAAAGAATATACTAGTTCTATACTTGTTTTGTAAATTCATGTTTTCTTTGTTTGGCTTGGCTTACAAATTTTTGTCTCTGTTTTTGAATGTTTCAAAGGTTTATGCTTTAATGATGTTGCTCCTGCTGTCGTTTAATATTTCTGTAAGATGTATTTTTACGCAACTTTGTATTCTGGTTCTCTCAAAATAAAAAAAATAAATCTGGGGGTGGGGGAGAGGTGGTGAGCAAAAGTACCAAACTTCCCCTGAAGTAGTGGCTTCTTTTTCCTACCGATGCACACACAAGAAACGCCTTGTTCTTCACCTGTTCTCCCAAAGGCTGTGGAACAAGGTGCTGTGGAGAACCACTTTAGGCCCCAAGATCTGTTTTTCTCACCTCTACCAACTGGTATCTCCACTGCCCTTCCTCCATCCTTTCAGAGTTGAAAGCTCTCTCAGAAAATGCATGCTTACCCTCTGTGGTAGGACCTTGTCCGCCATCTTCCTCCGTTTCAGCCTGCAAAAATTGTGCAGAGTGGTTAGCCATTACAGAGAGGAGCACACTGGCTAAAGACACCCAGCTGATGTGACCAGTCCCCAGACTCTGCATAGGGACTGAATTATATAAATTTAGTTCTCAGGCAGTAGAAAAGAGTAAAAGTCTGGTAGGACCTTAAAGACTAATAAAATTTGTGACAGGGTATAAGCTTTCATGAGTCACTGCTCACTTCTTCAGATACGGCTAGAATGGGAGTCCATCTGTCCTCTCTATTGGAAAGTGTAGTGATTTCAGATGCCAAATGACATTAGCAAGCAAATGTCAATAGCAGGTATGACTGGATTAGGTGTGATATGCAGAGAGGTAGTAGTCGTGGATAAATCAACATTGGTAATGACACAGGAAACCTAGGTCTCGATTCAGTCCGGGTGGATACATTGTCTTGAGCTTCGTTATCAGTTGCAATTCAGCAGTCTCTCTTTCTAATCGTCCTTTGAAATTCCTTTGCAAGATAACTGCAACTTTTAGGTCAGCAGCCGAGTGTCCTAGAAGGTTAAAGTGTTCCCCCACTGGTTTCTGAATGTTGCTGTTTCTGATGTCAGACTTATGTCCATTAATTCTTTGACGAAGGGACTGGCATGTTTGTCCAATGTAGAGGGTGGAAGGACATTGCTGACACGTGATGGCATAAATCTCATTAGAGGATGAGCAGGGGTATGGTATGGCTGACACTGCTGGGTCCACTGATGGTGCTCTTAGGATCCATATGAGAGCAAACTTGGCATCTTGGTTTGTTGCAGGCCTTGGTACCAGAGTCCATGTTACTGTTAAGTAGCTCATCACTGTGGGTAAGAAGTTGTTTTAGGTGAGCAGGCTGTCTTGTAAGCAAGAAAAGGTTGTGTGCCCCTCCCCCCGTGCCTGTGTGAGGGAAGTGTCACTATCCAGCATAGGTTGTAGGCCATTGATAATGCTTTAAACTGACTTGAGCTGTGGGCTGTAGGTGACCACCAGCGGTGTTCTGTTGTCATTTTCTTTGGGCTTGTCTTGTAGCAAGCTGTCCCTGGGAATCATTCTGGTCTTTCCAATAGAGCACATGTAACTATAGCATAGTCTGCACCAACCCCTCATACAGAGATACTCACTTGAAGGATCTGGAACAGGCATTTTTGAACTACAGTATCCTCCTGATATGCCCATCCTCTAATGTGATTTATGCAATCACGTGTCAGCAATGCCCTTCCACCCTCTGCGTTGGACAAACAGGCTAGTCCCTTCAACAAAGAATTAATGAACATGACATCAGAAACCACAACATTCAAAAACCAGTGGGGAGAAATTTTAACTTTCCAGGACATTCAGTTGCTGACCTAAAAGTTGCAGTTATCTTACAAAGAAATTTCAAAGGGAGATTAGAGACTGCTGAATTGCAACTGATAATGAAGCTCAAGACAATGCACCCACCTAGGTTTCCTGTGTTATTACCAATGCTGATTTCTCCATGCCTACTATCTTTCTGCATATCACGTCTAATCCAATCACGCCTTGCTATTGTCATTCACCTGCTATTGTCATTTACCTGCTGATGCCATTTGGCATCTGAAATCACTCCACTCTTCAATAAATAGTTAGATGGACTCCCATTCTAGCTGTGTCTGAAGAAGTGAGCAGTAGCTCAGAAAAGCTCATCCCCTCCAATAGATTTTGTTGTTGTTGTTGTTGAAGGAGGAGGAGGAGACTGGATTTATACCCTGCCCTTCACTACCCAAAGGAGTCTCAGAGCGGCTTACAAACTCCTTTCCCTCCCCCTCCCCACAACAGACACCCTGTGAGGTAGGTGGGGCTGAGAGAGCTCTTGACAGAACAGCTCTGATAGAACTACGGCTTGCCGAAGGTCACCCAGCAGCTGCAAGTGGAGGAGTGGGGAATCAAACCCGGTTCTCCCAGATTAGTCTGTGCACTTAACCACTACACCAAGGTGCTACTGGACCCTTGCTCTTTTCTACTGCTACAGACTAACAGGACTACCCATCTTGATAGATCTCAGACAGTTATGCAAGTAGACCTTAATGACAAAATACTTTCCCTGTCCTGAAAGCCCTCCCAATAGATGCCTGTCCTTCCTTTACAAAAACAAAACCCTCCAAGGGCCACACTGTTCACAGGCAGCTTCAGTAACTGATTAACTGCTCTTAGAGATTAAAGATTGAGGTTTCTTGTTTGTTGATATCAGAAGTGGGGTTTCTTGGGGAGTCAGAGAGAGAGAGAGAATAACAATGACTTACCGCAGGGGAATGAGTTGTCAGAGCAAAGCCAATTACAAATTGCTTTGCAAATCTTAATTTATAAGGGCTACAGATATGAAGAGGCAAGAGGACAGGGTAAGGGTGGGTCATGGGGATGGAGCTAAGAATACTTCAGGCATCTCAACACCTCCCCCCACCCCCCGTGGAGCTGAGCATACTTCAGGCATTTCCACCCCCCACCCCCTCTTGTCTGGATCCCAGGATTTCAGGAACCTCTCTGATACATTTCCAAGGTACTCATGAAGATTATAATGCTTTGGTGTGGAGAAGTCCACAAAGAGCTACTAGATTCAGCGACACAGACCATACTTCTCATTTTAAAGACCCTCTGGTAGTTAGAACTGGACCAGACTGGCTTTGATTAAAAATTCCCTCCTGTGTCTATTCCCCTAAATATGAACACCATCCAGGGTCCACAAACAGAAACGTGTGTTTATGATTCATCTTCTCACAGGAGCAAGCACAGCAATAGCACAACAATGAAAATAGCCTCAAACATCAACTGGGGGGGGGGGAATATGGAACTCTGCTGTTATGGAAAAGTTTACTCATCAGCTTCTGCTTGGACCCAATTTATATGTTGGATAAACTACACAAACGTACTCATTTATTGATTTAGGCCACTGAAGACAGTGTGATGAAGAACTGTTGATGAAGGTGATGGGGTGGATCCAACCCCCTCCTACCACTTTTCTGAGCAAAGTTTATGTATTTATTTATTAAAATATTTATCCCCCACCTTTTCTTTTGGCTCAGACTTGAACCCTTCCCTCTAGTCTAAGGAGTCTTCCTCCAAATTAAGTGGCTCTTCCACTGGAAAAATAACAATCTTCATTAGAGAAAGTCTCCTTAGGCTGGAGAGCAAGGCTCCTGGAGAACGCTTAGACCCACCCCGCTCTGAAACAGAAAGAACACAGTTCGTTGTATATGATCCACAATGCCTGAATTCTGAAATGAGTTTAATATTGTGAGTAAAGGTAAAGGTTTCCCTTACTCAAAAGCCAGTCGAATCTGACTCTAGGGTTGTGGTTCTCATCTCCGTTTCCAAGCCAAAGAGCCAGTGCTGTCTGAAGACATTTCCGTGGTCATGTGGCCGGCATGACTAGACGCTGAGGCGCACAGAACACTGTTACCTTCCCACTGAAGTGGTACCTATTTATCTACTTGCAATTTCTTGCTTTCGAACTGCAAGGTTGGCAGGAGCTGGGGCCAGAGATGGGAGCTCACTCCATTACACGGCACTCGGGTCTCAAACTGCTGAACTACCGACCTCCCAGCCTCCAGTTCAGCGTCTTAACCACTTGAGCCACCGCAGCTCCATTTAATATTGGGAAGATTCACTTTAATATGAGCCTGCTTCGGCGGGGAAGCCAGGGTATAAATCAAACAAACAAACAAACAAACAATAAAGGGTTGGATCCAGCCAGCTTTTTTTTTTATTATTATCAATCTTGCCCAATTCTCCTCCTGACTTACAGCCCCCATCCCACTCTGCTTTTGTCTCTGCAGGTCCCATGATCCCCAGCATAGCCTTTTCGGGTAGTCAAAATGCAACCCTCCTCCCCCACTAGCGGGAAAGCTTGTTGGATCCAACCCAACGTATGGATTCCAATGTTTCTATCTACTTGCACACATTTTTTTTTACCTTGGTTCCCCCCCCCCCCCCGCAATGTTTGCATTAGGAGAGTGAAAACTGAAGTGAAGGGTATCTGTCTAGCATGCCTACAAACTTATCCCACTGTCTTATTTCCTTTGCTTCCTTTCGTTCTCCCTGTCAAGAACTTGGCCCTTAAAGAAGAGCTTGACCCTTGAAGTCTGGATGCCAGATGTCTGCAGCTACTTCTTTCTTCGTGCAATTCCTTCCTTGGAGGCGGGGGGGGGGGGAGGGCAGGGCTTGCCAAGAAATGCAGTGTCATTTGCACTATATTTGTTTTGAAAAACAGCTGGCAAAACCCACTCCAAGCAGGGCCTGAGAGGGACTAAAACTATGCATGAGAGAACAACAGAGTACGGCCCAATGGAGTGCAGGCCGCTTATATAAGCAGAGCCTGGAGTGTCATGAAGCTGGAGAGGCAGCGTTCCCATATCCAAACGAGAGGGGGAAGAACGGGAGGCAACTTATCCTCAGTTCCCACCGATAAATCATCAGCAAGAGCTGCAGAATCTGGGGCCAGGGGAGGAGTCCCAACCACACTGTCTAGCTCAGTCTTTGCAGGCAAGCTGGTGACATCCATTTACAGGGTTAGTTACCCTAGAACAGGGGTGTTGAACTTATTTGTTACGAGGGCCGGATCTGCCATAAATGAGACCTTGTCGGGCCGGGCCCTGTGTGTCATAAAATGTAATGCCAGGTAGCAGAGATATAAACTTTAAAAAACACAAAGGGGATTTTTTTTACTTAAAATAAAAACATGCTTAAAACATCAGCACTCTTGCAATATTTTGTTTATTTAACAGTGTCTGGTAACTGACACCTCTTGCTCTGAATTATTGCATCAAAATGTCCATGCTGCTGCAATCTTGAGTATGCTGTTCAGGTGTGTATCTGTAAGCTGCAAACCTACGATGATGCAGCAGAAGCAGAACTGGAAGAAGTAGCAGAAGACAGCTGGTTCCACTGCAGGCCTGACAGAAGCCCTCCGGGGGCCTGATCTGGGCTGCATGTTTGACACCCCTGCCCTAGAACAACAGCTTCTGGAAAACCTTCAACCTCCG